ATACTAATTGTTCTGACAACCGTTTGATTGCCTATTAATCTACCGACAATGCTGACATTCCATTCATCTGCCAGTACTCCTATCTCAGTGATTTGCCTGACAAAAGTACTTATTACTCCAGACCTTACAAGACATGACCTATTCGTTCTATCATCATTACTTCTCCACGGATACTGCCATCTTCGAGACCAAAACGAATTACTCTGCCGAGATGAAGAGCATGAGCAAAGTGCAAACTAAAATTTTCAAAGATCTATTAACAGCGCATTCGTTAAAAAAGGATAAGAAAATCAGCCAACCCTTCCAAACATTCTGGATTGAGTATGATGAAAAGTTCTTCTACCTTTACGCCGCAGACCTCAATAAGTTCATCTGTGATAACACCATGTATCAAATAGGCGTCCTGGAAGCGAAACCAGTAAAAATATATAGCACCCAAGCACAGCAATAAAGCATCAGTAGAATTCTGCAGTAGTTTTGTGCAACAGGACATAGTGTCCCTAATTCTGCAACAACGGCTGATCGAATGATGCTGTTAACTTCGTAGTTACTATTCCGCAAATTTTATTGCTTTCATTATTACCACATTTTATTTTTGACTATACCCCTGAATATATTGATTTTTGCTTCCGCAGTGTCCATTCTTGGATAAATACCGGCAGGCCCTTCAAATACGTTAAGTTAATCGTTATTTTCAAAAAGCAGTCTTATTCTCCTATCCGTTTCCGTGCGTTTTTGTTGTGCAGCGCTATTGCGCCGAAACAGTGAGGAAAAAAAATAATACATAGCACACAAGCACGGCAATAAAGCATCTATACAATTCTGCAGCCGTTTTCGAATCTTAATTGTGCTCTGTCAAGATTGCCTATGTGTGCTTTAAATTCAACTCAAACACTCTCAGGTCTCGTGATGAGCACAGTTAAGATTTCGAAACTACCTATCATTTAATTTGTCAGTCAGACTGCGCAGGAAACCGAAATTTTATAAGAATATTTACTGCCCGTTTGCGAGTCCGTGCGCATAATACTTCAATTTTTGTATGCGCTCTGCGCATGAGCGAGTAAAGTATTCAAACTGTAACAGCTTTGCCATTATTTCCCTCACACAGCCAAGAAAACAGAAATTATACGCAAATGCTAGTGTCCTAAAATCAGCCTTCTTAAATGCCTCAGTCTCTGTATGGATACATCGAATATGAGGATGCATTTTGCCGTCAATATCTACATACCAAATTCGCAGCAATCGCATATTTAAGATTTCACGTGGTACCACGATGCAATGCCACCATCCTAACTGACTCCCTTTTTCCTTCTACGTACAGGAAACGAAACTGCCAGCATGAGCAGAAATGTTAAAACAGTAAAGTTAGAGGAACCTAGTGCCCGAGTTGGCACTGCTGCGAAATCAGAAATTTGACATGTTTATCCATATGATGCACACATGCCTTTGGGCTGAGTTTCCTAGCGGTTCTTGGACAGCTTCCTCGCCGAAATAATTTTTTTAAGGTGTCCGTATTTGGGGCCCAGACGTACGGGAAAGAAGATTTCAGAAACGAAGCATTTCAATGGGACTTCAGAAATTTCAGCTTCCCAATTTCACCGGATGCTGAGTTGAAAGAGGATAACAAAATACAAACACACATGCATACGTAGACACATACACATAGACACACACACACACACA